GCACCCTGGAGCGGCTGGGCCGGTTCCTGTGGTCGCTGCCCGCCTGCGACCACCTGCACAAGAACGAGAGCGTGCTCAAGGCCAAGGCCGTGGTGGCCTTCCACCGCGGCAACTTCCGCGAGCTCTACAAGATCCTGGAGAGCCACCAGTTCTCGGCGCACAACCACGCCAAGCTGCAGCAGCTCTGGCTCAAGGCGCACTACGTGGAGGCCGAGAAGCTGCGCGGGCGGCCGCTGGGCGCCGTGGGCAAGTACCGCGTGCGGAGGAAGTTCCCGCTGCCCCGCACCATCTGGGACGGCGAGGAGACGAGCTACTGCTTCAAGGAGAAGTCGCGGGGCGTGCTGCGGAGCTGTACCGCCACAACCGCTACCCCTCGCCGGCCGAGAAGCGCCACCTGGCCAAGATCACGGGGCTCTCGCTCACGCAGGTCAGCAACTGGTTCAAGAACCGGCGCCAGCGGGACCGGGCGGCCGAGGCCAAGGAGAGGTACCGCCGGGCCGGGGCGGCGCCGCCGGCAAGAGGTGGGTGTCGGCCGGGAGCCCCTCGGGCCCGCTTGGCCCCTGGCCCGGGGGCGCCCGAGTACCCCTGCGGGGCCTCCGCACCCCTCGTCCCTGTGGAAGCCCCGGCCCGGTCACTCGGCCCATGAAGATCCCCTATAGGCTCCAGCCTTGCCCCCTGCCCCTGTAGGGGCCCCATGAGCGTATGCCCCCCACCCCCTGGGGTCCCTGTGGCACTCAGCGTCCCCTATAGGCCCCGCACCCTCCGAGCCCTGCCCCCAGGGCTCTGCCCTCCCACCCCCTTGGTCCTTCTGCCCCACTCAGTATTCCCTATAGGGCACTCAGCCCCCGCCCCCCCATGCCTATAGGGGCTCCTATAGGTTCTTGACCATCGTCCCCGTGGAAGTCCCGGCCTGGTCACATGGGTATCCTTATAGCACCCCAGTCCCCTTCTCCACTTGCCTACAGGGGCTCCGTGCATGCTCCTCTGGAAGTCCTGAGCTGGTCACTCAGCCCCCAAGTATTGCCTATAGGGCACGAGCCCCATCCTGCTCCACTCCCTCTGCCTATAGGGGCCCATGAGCACATGGGCAACTTCATGCCCTGCCCCCTCGGTCCCTGCGGAGGCCCCGGCCTGGTCACTCGGCCCTGCTGAGTATCCCCTGTCGGGCCCCAGCCCCCCCGCCCCCTCCTCAGAGCTCTGTAGGGAACACGTCTCTGGCACTTCATCTTCCTCCATCTCTGGAGGGCCTCAGCCCCTATAGGGGCTCTGGCCTGCATGCCCTCCCCCCGCTCCTAGGATACTATACAGCCGTGGCTGGGTAACCCCTTCCTGACCCGGGAGTCCACCCCTGTTGGGGTCCTCCAGATCCTATAGGGACCCGTCCTGTATATATTTCATTCTCCCTGATGCTTCACAGCTCCAGGACCACACAGGGCTCACCTCCATCCTACCCCCTCCACAGATCCTATACAGCCCTGGGACCCTATATGGATGCACCCCCTTCCCCGGCTGAGGTTCGGTGTGGTCCCAGAACCACGGTCCCGCCCCCATCCTGTGCAGCCCAGCTCCCCACACTCCAGGGCCCCATCCCACCCCCCAATACAACCCCAGATCCCATAAGTGCCTCTAGACCCCCTCCCCACAGAGGCCTGGTGCCCCTAGTGCCACATATACCCCCGTTGCTTTCCCCGTCTCGGGGTCTCCAGAGTCCCTGCCCGCCCAGGCTGGGGATGACAGGGGTGG